TCCATATGACTACGTGATTGGTCGGATGAAGTGCCGTGACCACCGTCGTTAGTTATGCTGGCCTGTGGTGAAGGTAATACGAGAGTTTGGACTGGTATTTTTCTGTGCACACAGGTTGGGGTTACGTAAACACAATGCCTGAGCCGATGTCAGCGTGACGGTTAGGTTGATGACGGGCAGAGAGTGGACAAGGTTTTTTTGGGAGCACAGCAAGGTCGAGATATTCGGATAAATAAATAAATGTGTATATTTACCGGCAGACAGTACACGGCCCCATAAGCGGGAGCGATCATTTGTATAGTGAATAGGTTTCATGTTTTATGCGGCGTAAATCATAATAGTAAAGGAAAGTTAAATAATAGAATTTCGGATCATGATTTTTTTCCTCGGGTCCTAGATCCGAGCATCTAATATTTAAAAATTACCGATATTTGTATCCTAATTTTCTATTTTGTGGGGCTCAGGAGTAGATAGTAAATATGAGGGGATACTAGGCTGCACAGACACAGATGTGGTATTGTAGGTAATGACACGTAGTGGGGAAGCTAGTTTTAAGTGATTATCTGCTCATATGTTTTTTATACCAGCTTCTGCCAATGCTTCTGGAGTTTACTGTGAGTCAAACATCTTCAACACATTTGATATAGTGAGTAACGTCTGTAGGGAATTTCCAACTGTGACATAGCTTGCACTCATGGTTACCTGTAGGGGTAGTTTGTTGCACGGATCAGAAATTCGATCTAGTTTTATGACTTGCAAGTTTTGTGCGTATCAAGTAGCCGCCATTACGTGTGGAGTAGACTGCAGTCTTCCGTAGTTCAAGTGCGGTGCTGTCTGCGTAAATTCGTTTGTTTATAATGTGGAAGCGAACGAAGTTGTTATTTAAGCGTCTCAGCCAAAGGGGATCCGGTTGGAGATTTCGACAGCGATCATAATAAATCCGGTTTGGGCAGCGCCCAATGACCAGCTTGATAAAATGATCTTTGCACATTTTTCAGAGCCATTCTGTCTTTCTCAATTGGCTGTGAACGATAGTATAGTATTTCAGAGTCGGTAGTACTATTGTCTTGAATAACTGAAGTCGTGCTTCAGGTAGGGAGAAACGTCTGGTGATATATCAGCATAACTGCTTTGCTTTCGCAGCCTGCTAAAGCGCATGTCCGGAGAAATTGAAAGAGTTGGAGTACCTAATTCTTAAGTCCCGAACTGAATCAGACGTTGCGATCACGTTTCCGGCAAGTGTGATAGAGTCTTCTGGAATGTGGCATCTGTACCCAAGTACTTGGGATTTCACTGAGGAGAACTTCATTAATAAGCGTTCACTTGCTATATTTAATGCGGATAGGTCTTCCCAGATGTTTCTCAGGCACATTTGTAGTTGGTCTGGATGAAATGAGTAGACCAGTGTGACGTCATCTGCAAACAGAAATGGGTGTCCATGTTTGCTCGGGTTGCATATGTTGTTTACGTAGATTAGGAAAAGTAGTGGTCCGAGCACACTTCCCTGGAAGACGCTGCTGGTTATTTGTTTCGGTGTATCATATTGCTGACCGATTTCAACGACCTGGGTTCAACCGTTTTTATATATGTGTCGAACCAGTTTAGCAGCGGATTTCCAATTCCATATGACTCTAGAGCAGACAGCAGTGGCCTGTGCGGCACGCGGTCGAACGCTTTTTGCATGTTCAACAGAATTATTATGATTGCAATTCCTCTGTCAATCATAGCCGTAAGGTGATCGAGGAATTGTAGCTGGCAGGTAACCCACGAGCGTTTTGAGAGAGCCATGCTGTAATGGGTTGATCAGATCCTGTGTTGTAAGAAATTGAACAGTATTCTTGACTATTCTCTCTATGGCTTTGGAAGCAGTAGAGGTGTGATTTCTCGGGCGGTAGCTTGACACTTTATTTCTCGGGCCACCTTTGTGCTAAGGCATTATAATGGATTGCTTCCATTGAGTTAAAAAGCAGCCGGTAGTAAGAGTGTGAAGAGGTTTAATAACAGTAGAGCGAGGTTTTTTTCCTCCGAGTTTTATAACAGTTGGGGCGATGCCATCTGGGCATGGACGGGCTGATGGTTTTATGGCTGCGATGGCACTTTGCACCTCTCTTAACGTCACAGGGATATTGCAGTATAGCTCGGTCGTTCTTTTTGGAAGTGGAGAATGAAGTGGCTGAGTGTTGGGGACAAAACAGGAGGCAAAACTAGAGTTAATAGTCTCGCATATGCAGATGTCGCGCGTTATTGAACTATCGTCTAGAGCCACGTTTCCGTTTCCTGATGGGGTTTAGGGTTCCTTCTTTTGATAGTTACATCAAGGTACGTACTTTCTCAGGATTTCTAAGTACCCGACTTTCTTCTTTGATGTTGGCCGTTTGGATTAGCTGTTGTAGATGTAGCAGATTCTCGTGTGTTTGTCGCAAGGTTGCGAAGCTGTTGTCCTTGCGATATAGTGATTTAAGTTTCTTTACCTTGGTTTTGGCCTTGTACAGAAGCTTAAGTTCACCACCATGTTCATGGGTATTTTCCCATACAATAGGTGTCAGTAGATCCACACCAAGGGCAAAATTGGTAATAAACTCATTTGTAGCCACAGTAGGGTTGTGAGCTAGGAATGACGTATTCCTATTCTTGATACTGATAAGTTCATAAATAAGTTCCAGTCCATACGATGGAGGTTGCGAATGGGTTTTATTACTCTCCTTGGTCGTTTAGGTTAATCAGTAGTCATATCACAAAGCACCTTGTTGTGCTCCCAGCCAGGTAGTGGATTAACAATGAATGTATAAGCGTAAGTGATCCCCATAGTGATTACAAAATCGAAGGTAGTGGCGCTTCTGGTTGGCTATCTAACATGCTGGGTCCAGCCACTGAGGTGAATACATGAGATGATTTCCTCAGTTCTCGCAGTGTTTCTGAGTGTAGGCAGCATCCAGTTAACATGTGGTAGGTTGAAATCTCCACACATAATTTTGGATTTGTATGTGGCGCTGGAAGCAACATTGATCATATCGGTTAGCTTTTGGTTTTCACATAGAGTGGTTCGGAACAGCCGATAGATACAACCCACTAGAAGATCAATAGATGGGATCACTAGCCAGTGTGTATCTTCTAAGCCAATGAACACAGGATGATCTGCGGGAATTGCAGTCAAGTTATTTCGAAGATATATGGCACAGCCACCACCACGTCTGTGGGAGCGATCCTTGCGAAAAGCGTATAGCCTAGGATGTTAAGCTGAGAATCACTCATTTCTGACGTGCACCAAGTTTCAGTGACAAAGGCAATATCGGTGGATCTCATAAACATGTGTTGAAAGTAGATCTAATTTAGGTAAAAGAGAATGAATGTTAATGACAACAGCATTGAAAGACATTGTTAACATGGAATGAAAGTGGTGGGTAATGTTTGTTTCATCGTCATTGTATCTGAGAATTGTGTGTTGTGAGGTAGCTGAGGCACACTGAGCTCTACATCGTACTGGATTGAATGAAGTACATACTCCAGTAGTTTGCTTATTTTTTGATTCATAATCGCACATGATAGGGGCTGGATTGGTGGTGGAGGATGTGGTAATATACGATAGTCTAAAAAAGCACTTACATCCATAGTATACAGGAGTGGTGGCATGCTGAAGTCTACTAAATCCTTTTTCTTCGGATTGTATTGTTGCCAGTTGAATAATACAGCGGGTGGTGGTTGGTGAATTTTGACTTGAGGTATAGAAGGGTTGCACCCTCTTACCTGAAAGTCCGTGTGGCGTACCACCATTTTGTTTGCCTTTTCGGTGTCGCACACATAGGGTTTTGCCAGCTTGAGATTGCAGGATTTCTAATCGTAGTCAGAGGCATTGTGGATAAGTATTGGGCCGGCTCTGCGAATTATCCCGACAACTGTGTCGGTGTTGCATGCGGAAGCTTGAGGACGTACACTTTTTCTCAGTTGGCCTAGCTGCATATCTCTACGTTCTTGCAGTGGTTGCTTCAGACCTAATGAGTTTCGAGGGTTTATGGGATGGCAATAGCTACTGCAGTGGCGAAATCCTTAACCGCGAAACTTTCGATTTGCTGACGAGAACAAAATAAACCTCTGTAAGCGAATGAGACAGCGGAGAACTATTTGCTTTCTAACCACTGACCTGTTTGTTTCGTAAAAAGCTTCCGAACCATACCTTTGGGTTTTAACCCTAGGTAATTTATGCCGGCCCGTAAATGAATCATGAAAAACAGTTGTTTGCCTCAGGCTGGTGTTCTTTATGAGTCGCTGAGTGTTCCATATTGATTTCATCGGAATTGTATCTTACGCATCCTCTAATTTCCTTAGCTACCTAAGGAATTTCTCTTTCCCTGTCGAGACTTGTTAGCAGTGCCGATTTCTTCGGCTTCTCTTTTTCAACCTGATATCGCGGTGGATGCGTGCAACCTAGACGATTGAGTACTTTCACCTTACTCCCGTGCAATGGACAGAGTACTATCGTTTTCCTAGGTGGTCACTTTTCTGCCGGCATCCATCGTGGCATCATTTGTGCACTGATAATGCACAACGATTTTCCAAATGTTTCTGATTCTCTTGACGGTCTTTACCGTGATCAATTCCTTTTTAAATACATTCATTTACTTATACATCGTCTACAGTCTATTTTATTTTGACCCGTAATTTGGTTGTATGATGTTCTTATCGCTAGTTACTGAGTTTAAGGTATTTTTTACCTCGTCTGCTGAGATAACACGCATATAGCGATTTGCTAGTTTTACTTTCTGCCTCATGGCCGACGTTTTGTAATAGGCCCCTGCTCCCATTTGGAGTTTTCTATTTTAGATTACTTTTAGTTCATTAGATTTTCTTCTTGTATAAATGTCCGCTCTTGTTCTCGCTTCTTATTCGAACCAGTGTAGCTTTCGGAATACACATGTCCCACTTTGATGTTTACATATTTTACTAGGATTCGTCTCGCGTTAATATGCTTCATGCCGTTTTCCTTTTTCTCTGCACATCTACAGGCAAAGGCTGCTGGAGATGGAGAAGCAATGCCTACTGACGAACAGTTCTTAACTGCCTTGGGCTATGGTCTGCCGCCGACAGCGGGTTGGGGTTTGGGCATCGATAGGTTAACAATGTTCCTGACGAACACTAACAATTTGAAGGAGGTAATTCTGTTTCCCGCCATGAAACCGGAAGTCCCTTCACAAGCCCAAGTTAGCGACACTGTAAATAATGATGAATTGGACTTCATCTCCCATCCTACAGTTCCTGGTAATGATCTCTCCGTCTCTGTGGGAAGTCTGAGCTTATCTTCCCCATGTACCTCCAAATTACCGATGGAAACTGCTGCTTCTGCTGCTGAGGACTTTGCTTTGGTTGTCGATGGAGCGCATGGCCCAACGGTAGTTCCTACTATATCTGCCCCCGATATTGAACAGTCCCCTAGCCCGAACGATCATTCGTATTCAACGGAAATGTCACCGTCAACTGGCCAAGTAAACGACGCGGCCATCAAAGGCAGTGGAGGTAAAAGTGGGAAGAAAAAGAAGGGTCGGCGGTCCTAGCTTGGGTTTCCTTGCTCATTTTGTGCCATGTTCCCGGAACCACTTTTTGCAGTAACTTTGGTTCAACGTCGGTTTTTGTGCTGTATGTCTTCATTCACTTGTGTGAGGTAACGGCTTGCTTTACTCTCCAAAGATACCTATTGTCAATATAAGAAACGTCTGGTATGCTCCTTGCGCCATTTTCATTTTTGCTGTACCACTCTTTATCATCATTTTGATGCGTCTTTAGTTACCTGACGTGATACCAATCTACAGAAACGATACTAGTAATGCTTCGTAGGAAAACGTATCGTTTAACTAGATTTCATCGCAACTTCACTGACGGAGTTGATTGGGGTGCTCGCGAAATCACACCTAGCTACTGACGCCACTGTGCCCCGGAGGCATACGTGCTGCTCGCATAGGTTGAATTAGTTTCGACCACCCTTATTTAGCAAGGGGAAGCGCTCTGCGTTTCCAAACTTTGCTGACCACCTGAATTGGTCTAGTGGTGATGCATTATTCTCAAATCACTTCTAATTATGTTTTACTCCGATTGCTTTTCCACCATTTTATTGTTCGCTTCTTTGATTTTGCTAAGCCTTTCTCATTGAGATCGTTTCCCGTAATGGAGCTCGATGTGACATTTAACCCTTGTTGGTCATATCACGAGTAGCTTCTGAGGACTCGAAAAAGTGCCTAAGGGTTACTGGCTGTTTTCTCAAGCAGCTTGGCATTCATCGGCCACTGATCTCCAAATTCCTCGGTTAGTGAATGTCCGCCTGTTCATCCATCCTTGATGAACCACCCGGTTTCGTACTGCCGTCAGAAGTGTTTTTCACTCAGTAGTTGGTCCATGCTGTGCTGTTCCTGAGCACTTTGCTATCCCCAATGATGTCTACTATACTGTATTTACAGCGTTTTGTGGGTGAGTAAGCTAGTACACTGCTACTCTGTTCCAGGTGCTTATTACGGGTGTGCACTGGCACCCATTGGTCTGCATGCCATAACTAGTGATTGGTGATTTCGCTTCATATCCCGTGTGACTCTATCACTCAACTTTTTCCTGCGCTACGTTTTCCTTTGGTGTACATTTGTTCTTGCCGTTACACGAATGACCGTCTTACTACGCCGCCGTTTTTTCTGATTTTATCATAGCGTAACAAATGACGGAGATTATTTAGATCAGTTATAACTACTCCAGTTACCTCAGCCGTTTTGGAATTATTCCACAGTAAAGCCTGCTACACAACAATGGGTTCAGTGGAGAACTACCTTCAATAATTACGCGGATCTACTTGTTCTTTTTGGCAGTGATAGTACGAGACTGTAAATGTATTTATTTATTGACTCCTTACTGCTCTCCATGGCAGCACTTATAATCAGATCATGCCCATCCAATTCGAAGAAGCAATGCTCACACAGGCAATACTCGTTGTTTTTCTTGACGAGAAATCTCGAGAGCATCTTATCGGAACTCGGAAAGACCCTGACTTGAGATGAAGCCTGCGACAGTTCGCCAGCTTGCAAACCTCCTTCAGGAACTAACGGCATTCTCCTTGTCCGATCAAACAATTTCGCAGGGAGTACACGAAGTCCCTTTTAGACTAAACTTGGTCGCACATTGTCTCATACTGTACATTACGATGATTTCCGTTGGTATGACTGTGATGAGCAGCATTCAACCCCGGCTGCTTACCGGCATTTTCAATTAGGAATCAGCTTTTGTGAGAAAGCAGTACATATTCAGAAAGTGTCGTTTCAGACCAAATTCCTTTGTAAGTGGAAACCTCAGTACAGCAGATAAGATCACCAAGGAGTTGAACCAGTGTTGGATAAACACCACAAAGCTTTCCATCACAACATAACAGCGGCGAAACCATTCGTTATGTTTATCCAAGTAAACGAGCAACCTGTGGATTTCGGAATTGATACGGCTTACGCTGACAACTTGATGCCCTGTCGCAACTGCCAAAATTATATCATCCTATGACCCAACTGCGATCTTACACTGGAGAGTTGGTGAACGATTCGGCGGATCACATCCGAGTGTACTTTTCTGGGGACCAGGCTACGGTGGGATTAAACGTCTTTTTTGGCATCATGTTAAACGTCAACACCGTGGGAGTTCGTTCGCAACTGTCCGGGGTTTTGCGAAAATATGCAGCTTTGTTGACCAAACTATACCAGGGTGGTTGAATTACATCATCATCATACACGTTAGCTAGAGGTGGGAAACACCTCAGCTAATGTGCCGCAATACATAGAAAAAAGGAGCAATAAAAATACAACTGGTGCAAGCCGGCTGAGCTACCGGTAACGGATGGGCATCGTTCCGGTAAGTTACCAGCCGGCTACTGTACATCAAAAACAAATTACTATGCAAAATTATATAGGGCTAAATAGTGAGATCGTGGTTGGATGGGGAGGCTAAGAGGGGTGGGGAGGGACAAAGAAACTCACAGCACGAACGCCACTGAGGCTGATGTTGCATTCTTGATGCTTCTTCACCTCAGTTGGGCTAAACCAACATACACTTCAACTAGGTCTTTTTAAGGCGGATACAATTCATTCCACTGTATTTGGTTTGTTATGCCTACCTGAATACTCTTCCATTAACTGGCCACGTTGCTTACATTAATTGCGCTTATCTTCGGCAACTGTTGCGTTTTGTAGCATTTTTAACTAACTTGTGGACATTATTTCCTTATCGCGGATTCGTTGCTAACCAACTTACTTCATATGCTAATTTAGCGAAGAGTTATGCCATCGTATCTGTATGCATTATTGGATTTGTTTTATTTCATCTTGTCATTCCAGGTGATTGGCTGTTGCTTGATATCCCCGGTGAGGCTGCGCTTGATGTGCATGTTGACAAGGTGCCTACCTGTCTGTTACCCGCTATCTCGTCCATACTGGCGCCAGGAGACAGTTGGTCGTTGCTGGAGGGGACGGGGTGCACGGTCCTTGTGGCCGTGCTAGGCTCGAAGTGCGGTTCCATGCACTCATTGTGGAGCGGACTACGGTCCAGCCACCGCCTTGTGTGCGCTTGGTTTCCCAAATACAGCGTGCTTGTGTTTGCCTGTGAAGGAGTGTGGGTCGGCTCCATTGATGAAACCTGGCTCCCATCCACATGCCTCCCGGTCTTATTCCTTCGGATTTACACTGCATATGGGGTGTGTGCTTGGAGCTATGGGTGGTGCGGCGCAAGCCACCCATGATCCCTCTGTAGGCGCAGGCGTCCTGTGGCTGGCCACAGTAACAGGCAAATCCGAAACCGGATGCCGCCAACCATCCAGCCAAACGTGTTCATCGTCTTTCGGACCCCATCCAGGGAGCCGAGACGATCCAACTGAGGCCAGCTTCGAAGTGAGGGTCTTCATTGCTCTCGACCAAGTCATCGCTTGGCCACCCCTCCTCTTCCATCCACACCTCCGGCGCGCAAACAACGCACGTCCCGGGAGTCGGTGGAGTGGCATGCGTAACAAGTGGCCTAGCCATCGGAGCATGGTGCGTGAAATAACGATGCTAAGTGGTTCAGTTCCTTTTCGTGTGCTGTAAACAAGGCGTCTAAAGCGCTAGTTGCTTACTCGGTGTCCCCACCAGATATGAGCTAAGTCGCGAAGGCACCGGTAGTCGAACGTAACTAGCCACTTTATGTTCGTTGATCTAAGGGGCCAGGTTTCACAACCGTACAGTCATCTTCATCATCATTATACACGTCAGCTAGAGGTGGGAAACACCTCAGCTACTGTGCCGCAATACATAAAGGAAAAGGAAAATAAATACAACAGTTGCATTCCAGCTGTGCTACCAGCAACGGAGATGCATCGTTCCGGTAAGGTACCAGCCGGCTACCCTGCAAAAAGTAAAATTATTTTTACGCTGCGAAATGAGATTGTAGATGGAGGGGGAAGCTAAAAGAGATGGGGGGGGACAAAGAAACTCACATCAGAAACGCCACTGAGGTCCGCTTCTAGCCATATCAGCAAGTGTACCCAGCCAAACGTGCTCATCATCTTTTGGACCCCAAAACCATACAGTATGGTCGAACGTACCGCTGCATTTTACATTCTACCCTTCTGGATGAGAATGATGTCGCACCCACGCCATAAGTGGCGAAGGTTAGCAAAAGCGCCTCGAGCTATTGCTATACGGTTCGTGATCTCATCTTCAATTCCACGGGCGTTGATACAGCTTCCCAGGTAGTTGAATTTTTGAACGACTTCTAGCTGATCCCCAACAAAGGTCAGCATAGGAGGCAGTCGATGCCAATCTTGGAGGAACGCTTTGCACTTCGAGGGTGCGAAGCAAAGGTTGAACTGACGGACAGCCTGTGCTAATCTGTCCAGTGCCGCTTGGCACGTTTGTTAACTGTCACAGATTAGGGCAATATCATCAGCATACTCCAAGTCAAGAAGTCGTTCTCCTGGGAGTAGCTCCACACCTTCTAAGTCGTGTCCTGTAAACGCGATTTCCATGACTTCGTCAATAGCAAAGTTGAAGAGGAAAGGTGACAGCGGGCATCCTTGTCTCACGCGGCTGGTGATATTAAAGGGCGACGACAACTTGCCGTAAGCCCTCACTCAGCCCGAGCTACGAGAAAATAATGCTCGAATAATATTTACATATTTCTCAGGTACACCTTTCCTGAGTAGACAGTCCCAAATTGCATGTCTATCCACCGAATCGAATGCACCTTTGATATCGAGGAACACGACAACGGTGGGCCGCCAATATATGTGACGGTGCTCCAACAACTGACGCAATGTGAAGATGTGGTCAATGCAGCCACGATCTCGACGAAATCCGGCTTACTCTTCACGAATCTGGCTTTCACGCGTGCCAGTCAGTCTGTGATGGATGACAGCGGCAAGCCATTTGGAGGCGATGGAGATCAGACTGATTCGTTTATTGCCGCCGCATTCCGATCGTAAGGCTCCTTTGAAAATTGGGACTATGACGGAGCGGCTCCAATTGGTTGGGACAGTTTCCTGATCCCACAGTTTGACTAGTAACTCGTGTAAATCGTCCACAAGAGCAGGTCCCCCGAATTTGAAGAGGGCTGGAGGAAGATCATCTGGTCCCGCGGCTTTATTTAACTTCAACAGTTCGATCTCACGTTTGATTTCTGAACGAGAGGGTGGATTCAAAGGGACAGCCCTGGGAGCGGGGCGATCAGTGGCCGGCG